CAGCGATAGAAGGTCACCAGCAGTTTTTCATCCAGTTGTTGTTTCCTGAGAAGCCTCAGGTAGTCTAATCTCTGCTGGGCCCTTTTGACCAGAGCTGCAATGTGATCCCCCCAGGTCAGGTCCTCTTTTAGGGTAACACCCAGAAACTTCAAACTGGCCACTGGCTCCCCTCGGTCTCCCTTGATAAGCAAGGGCTGGATGTCTGACCTGTTCCTTCTATATAGTCCACTATCGTCTCCTTGGTCTTCTTGGTGTTGAGGACCAAGTTATTGGCTCCAAACCATTGGAGAATATGAATTATAATACGCCCAGAGGGGTGTGGGGGGGAAAACCAGGGTCAAGGGTGACAATGAATGATGTGTCTCAGAGTCGGCTACACCCAGGCAGTGCCGGACATGTGAACTCCCAATAAATCTTTTGGAAGTTTGGCTCGAGACTCATAATTTAATTGGGGTTAAGTTCCGGAATCCTGACACTGTTAATATTAAAATGTCAGCATTTAAACATCCGCCTCCGATTCCTATTTCCCTTCCGCCCAACTTTTTCATTTCATGCTCTTACAGGTGGTCCTTGACTTACAACGATTTTGTTAGTGACCAAAGTTACAAAGGCACGGGGAATAAGTGACGTATGGCCCGTTTGTCACGTGGCTGGGAGAGCATCCTCTGTGGTCATGCGATCCAAAAATCAGGAGCCTGGCCGCTGTCTCGTATTTACGGCGGCCGCGGTGTCCCGGGGGTGGGGGTCAACGGGGAAGCCGGATTTGCTTAACGACCGTGTGGCTAACTTTTAACGACTGCCTTGGTTCGCTTAACAACCGTGGCGAGCAAGATCGTCTAATGGGGAAAAACTCAAATGTCTCAGCGATGGAAATTTTGGGCTCCGTTTGTGGTTGTAAGTCGAGGACCACCTGAATTCCATTGTTTGGTTTTATTAGTGTTGATATATTTACTTTTTAAAGTCTTTTCACACCCCCGTTTTGTTGTTGTAAGTGGGCCCAGAATAGCCCCGTGGCGAGGAAGGTGGGAAAAAATATTTAACCAATAAATAAAAAGGGACTAGGGGAGACATGAGAGCAGTGCTCCAATATCTCAGGGGCTGCCCCAAAGAAGGGGGAGTCAAGCTATTCTCCAAAGCCCCAGAAGGCAGGACAAGAAGCAACGGATGGAAACTCATCCAGGAGAGAAGCAACTTAGAACTAAGGAGAAACTTCCTGACAGTGAAAACAATTAAAACTTGCCTCCAGAAGTTGTGGAAGAAGTAATTGGAAGAAGTAATTGGATAGCCACCTGTCTGGAACGGTATATATGGTCTGCTCAAGCAGGGGGTTGGACTAGATGATCTCCAAGGTCCCTTCCACACACTGTTATTTTATGTTCCAATTTGGGAGATGTTGGCTAATCAACTTGTCTGAAGTGGTGTAGGGTTCTCCTGCCTAAGCACGGGGTTGGACTAGAAGACCTCCAAGGACCCTCCCAACTCTTGTTATTCTATTCTAAATACAATCGCAGTGTAGTTCTCCCCTCCCCGATTTCCCCCAGGCTCAAACTCAGAGCGCCGCAAGACAAACAAGGACCGGGCTTAGAAATATTTCAACTTTATTGAATAATCCAATTTTATTTTCCCCAAAATGCACGACACCCCCCCCATCCCCCAGGACAACGGAGCCGCTGCTCAAGAGAGCGAGACACATTCAGATATCAGTGTAGGCACAAATGGATAGAAGAGCCACGGAGCCAATTTTTCAACGGTGTGAGGTAAATTGAAGTTTGGTTTTTTTTAAAAAAAATCCCACCTTTTTATTCTTTTTAGATATAATTCAAGGTGGCGGACATACCTACTGGCCCTTCCTCTTTTCCCCACAGCTCTGGGGGGTGAACTAGGTAGAGAGCAAGCGATGGGCCTAGGCATCCAGCCAGCTTTCGTGCCTAAAGCAGGACTAGAACTCCCTGTCGCCTGGAGAGCTGCCCAAAGTCACCCAGCTGGTGGTTTTTTGCGTGTGCCTAAGGTGGGACTAGTTTTCTCCCGTCTCCCGAGGACTGGCTCAACGTCACCCAGGCGTCTTACACGCTTAGGGTAGAACTAGAACTCACGGTCTCCTGGCTACTGAAGCAAAAGTCACCCAGCCGCCCACCACCACCCAGTGAGGTGGATTAGGTTGAGAGCGAGTGACTGACCCAGTCACCCAGCAGGCTTTCACCTCCAAAGCAGGACTAGAACTCACTTTCTGGATTAGTCGTCACCCGGTTGGTTTTCGTGCTTAGGACAGAACTAGAAGTCACTGTCCCCTGGTTATTGACCCAAAGTCACCCAGCCCACTACTTGTGGGGTGGACTTAGGTTGAGTGACTGACCCAGTCACCTTTCGTATCTAAAGCAGGACTAGAACTCACTTTTTTCTTGATTAGTCCAAAGTCACCTACTTTTTTGTACTTAGGGCAGAACTAGAAGTCACTGTCTCCTGGTTATTGATCCAAAGTCACCCAGCCCACAACCGTGTGAGGTGCAGTTAGACTGAGAGTGAGTAATTGATCCAGTCACCCAGCCAGCTTTCATCTCCAAAGCAGGACTAGAACTCACTTTGTTGACTAGTCCAAAGTCACCTGGTCAGTTTTGGTCATGCTTTGGACAGAACTAGAATTCACCGTCATTTGGTTATTGATCCAAAGTCACCCGGCCCACAACCATGTGAGGTGGAGTTAAATTGAGAGTGACTGGCCTAGTCACCCAGCCAGCTTTCATACCTGTGGCAGGACTAGAACTCACTTACCCCTGGTTATTGATCCAAAGTCACCAGCCCACAACCCTTTGAGTTGGAGTTAAGCTGAGAGTTAACTGACCCAGTCACCCTTCATGTCTAAAGCAGGACTAGAACTCACAGTCTCCTGGTTATTGATCCAAAGTCACCCAGCCCACAACCCTTTGAGGTGAAGTTAGGTTGAGAGTCACCCAGCCAGCTTTCCTGCCTGTGGTGGCACTAGAACTCACGGTCTCCTGGTTATTGATCCAAAGTCACCAGCCCACAACCACCCTTTGGAGTTGAGTGTGTGACCGGTCCAGTCACCCAGCCAGCTTTCGTACCTGGGGCAGGACTAGAACTCACCATCTCCTTTTTAGCCTGGTTGCCTTAACCACTAGACCAACCAGACTAAAGTCACCTTCATCCCTCACACACTATCTTTCCTATTAAGAAATCTGGCAGGGAGCAGGGCCACCATCTTGCCAGAACTAAAAATGGCCGACTGGAGAAATCCAAAGACCTCACCGGTCCAGCCCCATCTAGAAATCAAGCCCATGTTTTTCACTAGATCCTGCCGAAGCAACTTCATTTTTTTCTGTCCTGAATTTCAAGACTTTTAATTTAATCAGTAATAGGATTAGGAGCATCGCTTCTACTATTCTACTTTCTCTACATAATGGACCACCAAACCTTAATTTTTTCCTAACTAAAAACAAACAAACCCACAAACCCAGTGCTGGGTTTTCTACCTTTTTCCTAAAGTCCTTAGTTGGTTGGCCCAAAAAGAAAGTCCTGACCCAATGAAATTCAGCTTCTCTTTCCTCGAAAGATCCCCTCTCCCCCCTGTAATCCCATTTACAGAGCTCAAGATTTTCGGTCGTTAAGTGAGACGTTTTGAGTTCTGCCATTTTGCCCCCTTTCTTGCCACAGGTCGTTAACGTGAATCGCTGCCGTTGATAAGCGAGCAACACGGCCGTGACTCACTTAACAAGGAAGGCCGTAAAATGGAACCTCACCGAACATCTGTTTTTAGCTTAGGAATGGCAATTTTGAGGCTCGATTGTGGTCGTAAGTCGAGGACTACCAGTATGAGCGAAACAATAAGACCCCTCCCAATCTGGGGGGGGGGGGAGGAACACGATTCCTCAGGTAGGAACATGGCTCAAAAAAAGACCCAGGTAGAAGCTTAGTCCAAGGCTGCCCTTCTCAGCTGGGCATCTTCTAGGCGCACTCGTGCTAGGAGTTCCAGGCGCTGAAATCCACCACAGGGAGGAACTACTCCTAAGATATACACGTGTTTTTTCTTGAGTGGGTGGTTTGGGGAATTGGTGCAAATCCTGTAGTTGTGGGGTTACTTTGCAGGTGTTCTTGTACGAAGCCACAAACTAGGAAATAAAAGAGACCCTGGAGGGGACTGGAGAACGGTTGCAGGAACTGGGCCTGGCTAGTCGAGGGAAGAGAAGGACCAGGGGAGACAGGAGAGCATCTTCCAATATTTGAGGGGCTGCCATAGAGTGGAGGAAGGGGGTCAAGCTATTTTCTAAAGCGCCTGTAGGAAATAGTGGACGGAAACTGAACAAGGAGAGATTCAACTTGGAAATAAGGAGGAACTTTCTGACAGGGAGAACAATCAACCCCTGGGACAGAAGTTGCCTTCAGAAGGAGCTTCATCCCTGGAGGCTTTCAAGAAGAGATTGGACTGCCCTCTGTCAGAAATGGAGTAGGGTCTCCTGCTTGGGTAGGGGGTTGGACTAGATGACCTACAAAGTCCCTTCCAACTCTGATTATCGGTTAATCTATTACCCCAAGCTTTCGTGTCTCCAAGTCAGCAGAATGCCAGGTGGCTGGGTATCTTGGAAGAAGGGCGGAAAAGACTCCTTCTCAAATGGGCTGAGATGAAAGGAACGTCTTCCGCCAAAGTCAAGCACGATAGGCGAAAAAAAAGGCACCCTGGATTAAAAACAGCCAACAGGGTGTTTATCCTGGGTGTGAACAGCTATGTGAACAGCTCTCTGGATGTATGTGAGTTTTAAAATTGTTTGGCCCCCCCACAATTCCACGGCCAATGGGGGCAGATGGCGAATTGCTTCTTCTCTGCAAATAAAAATGTAGAATTTTTTTTTTCTTCCTCCTCCTCACTTGCAAGGACACTGCGAGGAGACCGGGGTGTGTGAGTTTTCCTTCCCACGTTGCTAAAAGCTTTGCAATTCAGTTTTTAAAGCCCTCCTTCAAAACCAAGAACCCCCACTTCCTTGAAAAACCAAGATCCAGAAGTGGAGAGACACATCTCTTTCACAGTGCGTGTCAAAAGCCTCACCCCACCTGCCCTTGGGTCGGCTTCCCACCCGATGCGTCCCAGGTGGAGGAATGAAGGAAGGTGGGAACGCCAGGGCGGATCCAGCCGATCGCCGGGAAGGCAACCTCCTCAGTCAGGTTGCTTCACTCGGCGCTAGGGAGGTCGTAGCGATACTTGGAAATCGTACAGTGGGCCAGCCTGCCGTAGATGGTGGGGAGGACGTAGTGGTGGTATTTGTGGAAGCCAACCCCTTCGTACATCGCCCGGGCTTCGTGCTGGACCATGAGGGTGTTCAGCACCACCGAAGAGTAGCCGTGTTCCTGGGCGAAAGCGATCACAGTCTTGCAAAGCGCTTTGGCGATGCCGAAACCCCGGTAGTCCTTCCGAACGGACATGCGTTTCAACGTCAGTTCGTTCCGCTGCCCTTCAGCGGGCCTGGCCCCGACGGTGGCCACCACGCATTCGTCCACCTCGGCCACCCAAAAGCACGAGCCTTTGTGGCCCAGGTACGTGGCCTGAATGTCCAGCAGGTCTTCTTGGAGGCAGTGGTCGATGTACATGGACCAGATGTAACCCAGGAGCTGCTGCCCGACGGCCAACAGCAAGGTGATGGCCAGGATGGGTAAGAGCAACGACTTGGAGCTGGTCAGCAGGAGGCTGAAGGTGCAAGCCAGGATCAGGATGACCCAAGGCTGCTTCAGCATGTGGAGGCAGAGGGTGGGCACGTACTCGCTCATGCCGGTGGCGAACAAGTCGCGCACGGTCTCGTGGTCCCCGGGACGGTACTCGCGGATGTGGTAAGACACCATGGCGCGCTGGGCGGGGTGGGTGGGTCAAGAGGCAGCAAAGAGAATCCGGAGACGCCTTGATGATAAAAAAAGAAAAGGAAGAAAAATCAAAGGGAAGGTAGTTAAAGGAGAAGATAATGGAGCATCTCTTCCTCGGGATCACCTTGGAATTTTTCTTTTTATTAAAACTTCTTAAGTTTATCAAAGTACTAGCTGGATACCTGTGCTTCGCTACAAAACTAGGTGTTCAGGCTTAGTTTTGTGGGGAGGAAAATAAGGGGGAGAAATTCCTGCCTCTGCCTACCAGCATCCATCGGTATTCACCTGGCTAGCATCCTGTCAGTGTGTGAGAGAGATGAGGGCTGTTTGGAAACTGAACGAATATTTGCTGTGTGAGCAAGACGGAGACAGCAAGGAGCCTGGGCGTGGCTTAGCTCAACTGTTCTGTACTAAAGCTGCCTAGTGCTGCTGTGAAAGTAAAACTGAAACTGAAACTCCTCTGCTTGTGTTTTGCATTTGGAAGAGATTGCTTTTCAGGGGGGAAGGAGAGTAGAACTTCTTAGCATCAGAGCATGTTAATAATGATAATAATATAGACAATACTAATGCTCTGATGGTCATTTCGAAAAATTCTTTCTTAGTGAGCACCTAGAAGCCAAGAGGAACATATGGGCCAAATTTCAAGGTTGTAGCCTTTACAGTTCTGGAGATTTTGTGATGATGCGTGAGTGGTATTTTGCCGTGTGTGCGCGCGCGCGTGGGGGTAGAAGAAGAAATACAAAGAAAAAAACATTGAAAAGTAAGAAGAGAGGAAGGGGGAAAGAGAGGGTATAGCGTAATGGAAGGGAAAAAAAAGAAAAAAAGCACCGACTTCTAACTCTCTTCGGCACAGTCAAAGGGAACAACACTGCAACCACAACATTTTCCTTTTACACACCAGTACATTCAAGCCGTTTCTATAACAATAAGTCTAATTTACAAAAACAGAATTGAATTTTCATATCTTTTTTCCCCACACTGCAAACCCAAAGTCAGGAAGCAATTTCGAACTAGAGACAAAATTAAATATAATCTCTTATTTGGATAAAAGATGCCTTTTAACCATCTCAGCTTCCCTTGCTGTGGGGAAGGGAAATTTTCAGGGGCAGCTACCAGATTCTGCTGTTCCTCTTCTCTGATTCTCCAGATAAAATAGCATTTGAGCTGTATTTGGTATTTTGGGTCAAAATCCAGCAGCTTGGCAATTAATTGCCTTCATATTTATGATAGTTGAAGTGATTCCCTTTGGGGACCTTCCGACAAGCCAGATTCACTTAACAACCGTGCCACTGCAGTGATTCACTTAACAACTGTAACAGTGCAACTATCATAAATAGGATTCCATTGCCAAACATCTCAATTCTGATCCTGAATCTGAATTTTGATCCTGTGACCTGCAACCTAAGTGTGAAAAAAAGTCGTCAATATGAATTGTTTGAGGTGTCATCGTAACTTTGAACAGTCACTAGATAAATGGTTGTAAGCTGAAGACTGCCTGCATTGAGTCTTTCAAATTTTGGAGACCGCTATGTCCGTGGTGGCTTATAAATAAAAAATAAAAAACAAAATATACCAAAGGAAAAAAAGACAATCGATCAGAAGGCACAACCAAATAAATTCCCACCTCCCAAACCACCAAGAGTGGCTCAGGCATCAACCCTGACAGCAATGCCTATATAAATTGTGGAAGATGGGTAGTGTGTCCCTTGAAAAAAAAAATCGAGGACCAGGTTGGGACAACTTCTAAGCTGTTGGGATCTTTTAGTTTTGGGACCTATAACCTGTAAGAGTTATAGGTTATATATAACCTATATAACTTGGGACAACCTATAAGCTGTTGGGACCTATAAACTGTGGCGGATGGGCCTTTTAGTCTTATGCTTTTGGAGTGCTTGAAGAGGGAATCATGGATGATGGGAGTTGTAATTCACACACTGTGGAGGGTATACTAGGGAAGCCAACACCTCAGGATGCAAAAAGATCTTAGCATGCCTGAACAAAAGGGCCCTATCTAACAAAATATGGAGAAAAGCAAGATTTTACAGTTAGGAAGGGGGGGGAAATCAAAGATGTATGTATAGATTTCGCAAAACCTGGTTCAAAAACAGTCACTGTGAGAGGGACCTTGGAGTCTTAGTGGACTATCATTTAGACATGAACCAGCTGTGTGCAGTAACAGCCAAGAAAAGCTAATACACTCTGGGGGTTGTATAAACAGAGGCATAGAATCAAAACCGTGTGAAGTATTAGTACTGCTTTATACAACCTTAGTAAGGCCGCACCTGGAATACTGCACCCAGTTTTGCCCCCATTACAAAAAAAAGATGTTGAGACTTTGGAAAAAGTGCGGAGAAGAGCAACCAGGATGTTTAAAGGCCTGGAGACTAAAACATACGAAGAACCGGTTGCAAGATTTGGGTTTGACTAGTCCAGAGAAAAGGACTTTTAGGGGAGGGGACATGATAGCAGCCTTCCAGTATTTTGAGGGGCTGCCCCAAAGAAGAGGAGGGTCGATTTATTTTCTAAAGCACCAGAAGTCAAGATAGGAAACAATGATTGGAAACTAATCCAGGGGAGAAGCAACCTGGAATTAACAGGGAGGACAATTCACCAGTGGAACTACTGGCCACCAGAAGTTGTGGGTGCTTCATGGCTGGAGGTTTTTAAAGAAGAGATTGGTTTTTATCTTACCACCCAATAAAAATGTTAAACTGGTTAAGAAGAGACTGGACTGAAATGCTACAGGGTCTCCTGCTTGTGGGTTGGACTAGATGACCTCCCAAGGTCCCTTCCAGCTCTATTCTGATTAAGCTGAACTATGTAGTAGGCTAACCGCGGAAGAGAAATCACGGCAGTTCTGTGCATCTGGTGGCCCCAGGCTAGAGAAAACCGGAGTCTCTGCGGTAGCCGCGGACGATGGGTGTTGTAGTCCTCCCCTCCCCCCCCCCCCCCCCCCCCCCTGGGGGGGGCCAACCCCCCACCAGGGCCCCCCGGGGCGCGGGCGGCCCCGGCGGCGTCCCCCCGCCCCCCG